ATAGGTTAATTTTAATAAAAAAATAAGCCTGGAACAAATATGAAATATATTTTTATTAGTTTATATAAAATATAATAAATTACTTGTATATACATTATTATAAAAGCATGGTAATAATTTCCAAACAATATAATAAATTTATTTAGAAAAAGTAAGTAAACATATAGTTGATATTTCTATATTATATAGAATTAGTTACAAAATACTAGGTAAAATTCCACTTCTACAAACATATATAAATATTTTAACAAATTTTACTAATCAATGCTCTTGATAATTAATATAGCAACAATTTGCATTCAATTATTTAACGCCATCTATTTATTTTAAATAAAATATTATAATATTTTTTATCTCACAATAACTTTAAAAGATATTTTCTGATGTCCTTATCAATATTTTATATTCTGTAAAATATATAATTTGCTATATTGGTAAAAATTACTTGATTGTCATATGATAATTGATAAAATTAGATATACTGTAAATCTACGACATATAATATTCCACTGTTTGTATTGTCCTTAAATTATTTAATTTTATCTATAGTTTTATAATTATATTTTACTTTTATTAAGATAAATAAATAAAATTACTCACTTTATAAAAAATTATATTTGATATATTATATTTAGTAATTTTATGGATCAATTATTAGTAATTATAATACATTTCACTTTTGTCTTATGACTTATCTTATATTCCATTTCTTAAAAAGCATTTTTGGTTCATTTTTTTATATATAAATGCTTTTTTCCAAAAATGTATAAATATTTTTATTACATTCTTTATTTCAAATTATTGTTTAAGTTATATGCATACATTTTTGAGGGTCAGGGAATGGGGGTAAGGACTAAGGGGGATATTTTTTATTAGCTTAAGATGATATTCACAAAAAGTGATAAATTTTTGAAGGGGGTGGATTTCCCCTTGCCCCCCCCCACTAGCTACGCCTATGCATTAACTCTTTTAGTTGATGAACTAAATTCGTTAAAACATTTCATCCTAATAATTTCGACATCCACAGATAGTACATTCATTGACTTCTTGCAAGAATTATATAGTATATGGCATATACAGCCATTGGTATTAATACATTATTGTGCTGCCTCAATTCGGTAACTTTGGTTTTTGCCAAAATTTACAGAGGCATTATCAGCGCAGAAAGCTGACATGCAAATCATTGATAACCCTGAATCAGCTATATTTACCATTATGTGGCTAGCTACATTGTTGAATTTTTCACTATTTGTAACAGTTTTATTGAAATGTTCTTATTCTTGTTGAAATAGCGAAGGATCGAGGGAAATGTTTTAATATTTCCCTTATTAGATGCGTATGTTAGAATTGCATATAGATGCCCATCTTTCAAATCGTCTAGAATTGACCTCTAGGATTCAGGTACTAAAACACTTGTGATAGCTTTGCTCATTTTTGTTCTGCCACAAGTAAGGTTTGCACTTATATTGGAGTCGTTAAATCATGAGAAAAAGATTCGACCCACATTGTGATTATAAAGCTCTGTATTTCCGCAAATGTAGTTGCATCTGTTTTATTTATTATTTTTGTATTGCAATCGATGTTGATATACTCCCCTGTACTGACTTATATGAATGAAATGATGTTGATTAATTATTGGATAAAAATAAAACAGGATAGAAAGAGATTTTACAAACTAGACATGTTTTTGGAATAAATATTTAAAATTTATTTAAAAATAATCAATTAATGTCTCTCAAAAATAGTATTTATATATTAAAAACGTTAAAATACTAAAAAAAAAAATTGCGGGAGAAATTAAAAAATTGCAGTAGATTTCCAATTGCGGTAGTTTTGCGGGAGAGATGTCTGCGTGTAAACTAAAAAATTGCGGGAGTCTCCCGCTGATGGGGAGAAACATGGCAACCCTTTATATGACTATAACTAATTTTTATTGTTTAATATTAAGTCAATGTCAAAAATGCCAAGTCAACATATAAGAATTTGGTATACATCGAGAATATTTGTCAAAATGTGATATTTTTATTTTGATATAAAAATATTAAAGGACTCATGCGGTCGCTTCCGATCTATTAATTTATTACACAGTGCACAAAATAACCTAGGGTAGTTTTAGAAAAAAATTGATCTTTCCAACATACGATTATAGATTTATGCGGTAAGCTATTCTTGCAATCACCTACTGGCAGACACTACTCGAAAACAGGAAACTATCTATATGTATTATAACTATGGCAGTGGGGCTATATAAATAAATGTAAGATTTATTTGTTAAAAGATTACCTTTGATATTGTTTAGCATAAGTCGAAATATATAATTTTTTAGAAACATCGAAGATGTTTTCCCGCTTGCTATTAAAATTATTTTTTAAAAAATCGATATTAAAGATTTTTATCGGGTAATTATGAAATATCGGGATAAATTAAAAATGAAATTCCATTCATTTGCTAGCTATTTTTTTTTATCGTATAAATACAAAAATTTTTCGCATCTTTATATTTAAAATTAATACTAATTAAAAAATAATTGCTTTAGCATCTAGGTTAAATGACTCGATTCGACTATCCCAATATTTTCGCCAAAAATATTATATAAGCCTGGTGATTTTGCTCATAGCAAAAAGGTTTAGATATATATTAAAATCTCGAATCTTATAAAATATTATTTTGGCTAAAATCTTAATTTAAAATCAGCTAAATCGAGCAGTTTAACACTATTTGCATTTTTTCTTTTCCTATTCCTGCCTGATCTTAATTTTACAATTCAAGATGGTAATAAACTTTAACCCTTTAAGCAAAAGTTTGAAGTTATTACTAAATTGGAAACTACAAAAGAACAATTAGCAAAATCTTACGATTGTCATGTTCTATGATTTATAGAATAATATCAAATAAAAGGGGCATATTATCACAATACCTTATAAATAAACACCAGCAATTAAGAAGTAAAAGTAGTTCTTCTAAAAAACAGGCAGTTCATTTTGGTTTACAAAGATGTGGATCAAAAATTGTAACTTGAATTTTGTCTTTTATAAAATTATTATCAAATAAAATAAATATTATCAATTTGGAAATTTTCTTTTTTTCTGACCATATCGAACCTTTTGACATCTAGATTCGGTTATAGTCCCAGGAAGAAAAAAATATTAAGGTTTAGGTTAAGTAATCAAATTTTATAAGGATTCAATTTGTTCAAAACTTTTAAACTTTTTCATATAAATTTTTGCCAAAATAAAAATGGATATTTTTGTTTTATGCTTTAATTTAGTGATATATAATTCAGAAAGTTGATAATTGCCATAATGTTTACCTGCCTTTTCAAAATTTTTGAGGAAAATATTTATTTTTGTTATAATAATATAATTCAAAAAAGAAAAATATCTTAATCGTCATAAAATATTACTGTTTATCCATACATGGCTTTAAATAATTTAAATCTTTACAAATAAGAACAAAAGAATTTAAAATTAACCCACAATTTTATTGTAAATTATCATGTGTTAGCTTTAATGTTTTGAACTTTAAATAAATTTTTGAGTGCGTTTTTTAAATTTAATATAACTTTGCTGGAAAATTATTCCAGTATGTGTAGTAAACCTTACTCTTTTTATAAAATTTGGCCAAACTTTTTACCTTAATATAATTTTAATATTATAAATTTGAAATCGCTAAAAAGTTAACAGAAAAATTGTATGAAATTAATAGGTTAGGTATTCTAAACAGCTGGAATACATTTCCTTAAAATAAGATTTAAAGAAGCGCACTAAAAATATCATTTAAAGTTGAAAAAAATAGCTAACACACATAAAATAATTATTACAATGTACTATAAATAAAATAAAATCTAATATATCTTAAATATTACTTCTTATTTTGAAGGAATTTATAATAACATTTACTCCTAATTACTTAACGGGTAAGTGGTAAGGTGTAGAAAAAAAAGCGAGTGATGTGAAAGAGGCATATCCCACCTCCATTTTAAAACTGTTATATCTCATTAAAAATTTTATATTAAACTGTCATGATATTGATCAAGGTATCCTTAAGTTAACTGTAAATAAAAAAATATGAAGATTTAATATTAAATAACAATTATATGAGAAATTTAGACACTATATTTCATATTTATACTCTAAAATCTATTTGTGCAGTAATTAATTTTAATTAATAAAATATTTGTGCAAACTTGCTTTCAAATTTATATGTATTTTTTAAAAAAAATTTATAAAATTTGTAGAAACATAGTTGAAAAAACCAGGCCAAAATATCCATAGATTTATTTGTTAGTAACAATTTAAACTATAAAGGGATGTTAATATACCAGATATTTGCTATTAACTTTAAAAGTCTGATCATCTTTAACTCATAATTATAGTCGGGTAATTACTATATTTTTAGCCGTTTAAGACAATTTTTAACCGATTAAAAAATGAACTAAATTAAGTTTTTAACCGAAAATTATCACCTTGGCCTAGGGGATTTTCTTAAAAAGATAGCAGCTCAAATTTGGAACAAACTAATATAAATTTAAACGCCTTAATGTTCATGGATTTATTCGGCAGACGCCTGAAGATTGAACCGGCATTCAGATATTACCTAACCATAATAGATGAATTTTTATAAAATGAACCTTAAAGCTATCAAGAGAAAGGTTGGTTTTTTAAATAGCAAAAGATTTATTAATAAATATTGATAGAAGATATTGGAGATAGAAATTAGAGGAAATTATTTCATTACCTTTAAATTTAGACGATATATCTTTTTAGTTTTTAAAGTAGATGGAACCGAAACTAACTTGTTTTATAATTTATATTTGTAAAAAAAAATACTGAGTGAAAAATTCTATTTAACATTTTTATTGATAAATTTCATTCACACAGACCAAAACAATGACTAATAATTATGTAGTGATATGTGTTTTCAGCTAATAAAATTATTTATCGAAAGAAAAACATTTTTTTTATTAAAAATTCGCAGTAAAATTAATGTAAGGCACAAATGACATGACATCATTTGCTATTGTTTATATAAAATTAATATGTTAAAGGTTCAGTGTTTTATGGTTGATTAGGAAAATTATAAATAATAAAGTCCTGCTCAAAAAAAACATAGGCGAAAAATACAGTGTTAATTACGATAATTTATGTTATTTATTCTTATATTCATCTTAAAATTTTAATCTACATATTTATAAAGGTATTGTTTTGAAAAGTAGTAAAATTATTTAACCGGACTAATTTTTAGATAACCGATGTTTGTTTACGATTTTTTGAACTATCTCATTTAATCCAGTAAATTCAATGATGGATGGATATTTTTCTAAATTGAGCGTATTTATATTAATAAGATGATTTATAAATCGATCCCGTTAAGTCTAGCCGCCAGCTGAGCCAATTTAACGCTCTTTTCATCCATATCCTTTATTTTATTACTATTTAAATTTTTAAGCTTCCCAGTAGGAAGACTAGGGAATTCGTTAAGTATAAGAGGGGGAGGCGGAGGGATAGGTGGAGGTGGTAAAATTCGGAGAGGAGCTTTAGACGATTTAGATGATGATAAAAATAGCTGATTGTACGATGATAAATTATCATATTTGGAATGTTGAGCAGAATAAGAGTTATAATTGTTTTTGCGAGAAGGATTTAAAGAAGGAAACTCGGAGGAAGCTATAAGGTTATCGGGCTGAATACGTGGCAGACGGCAAAATTCATTTTCTTCGCTATCGTCAAGATGATTATAGAATTCATTATCATCTGACATCTGTAGAATAGGAACCTTTGGTACACTCGATGACGATTTCTATTTATTCATTTATAAAGGTACAAAATGTTTTTATATTTAAATTGCAAATAAGGGATTATAAATTAGTAATAAGGGTATACCGATACCACTTTTTGGAGGCCGATCCGATCCTATATTAAATTGATATCGGCCTATTACCGATCCGATTTTTTAATATACTTTTTATTAGTATAACATATATAATTTAATTATACCATAACATATGTCATTTAAATATATTATAATGATCAGTTATAGTTTATATTCAATTCAATTGCAATTCCGGATATAAATAGTTTTATTAATAAATGACATATTTATATAATAAGTAATAACATTAATCTATTTACATATTATGAAATTTGAAATAAATATTTAAAATTAATATATTGAAGATTTCTTTTTAGAAATACCAAAATTTCCAATCTATCAGAGGTCAGTCTGCGGCGATGGGGACTGCCAATTTCACTAAAATCAGATTCTGAAGAGAATATCGCACACTTTTATAAACAGTGCGCAAAAAAATAACAATATGGCAGAATATTTATTAATTAATTATTATTAAAAATGTAAACGATTTTATTTATAAAAATAAATGGTTTTTAAATATAACTTTTTTTTAAAATTTTATATTTTATTTTTGTTATAAACGCCATTTTTTATCGGATCGGATCGGGCCGATAAAAATATCGGTACATCACTAATTAGTTATATAATTTTAGATTATAAAATCAAAAGCAGTCAGGTTCGAGTATCCCAATCAAAGTCGTCCTCGTAAATCTTAGAGTATTTTCGGGCCACGGGTGACAAAAAAAAGGTAGATGCAAGGCTCTAATTAAAATGATACAGTAGAAAAATGTGGTAAAAGATTTAATTTTATATAATATAAAATGAACTTTGGTCTTTTTGGAAGAATGAGCATTACTAGATGGTGATGTTTTAGCGCCTTTCTTAAAATGATCGATTGTGGTTGATTGGAGCAGGTTAAATTTATTGCTACTTTTTGAGTTTGAAGCAATTTTTGGTGACAATGAATGTGATTGATTAGATTTAGAGTTAAAGGTGGAAGATGATAACGTTACTTTCTTTTGAGGTTTATTGGAAGATGTTAAAGCGGGAAAGGCCTCATCCACATTAGATCCTAATCGAGTGTGGGGCCAAGGGTTAGGTGAAGCCTTTTGACAAACAAAATTATACCATATATAATTACTCATACAGGTGGTCATATAGAATATTTAAAATTAAACATGGTATTAAATAATGGTTTGTAAAGAAATATTTTATATGTGATATTTGATCTTAGATCGTAACTTGCACCTCCTCTCTTTAAATTAACATAAATATATACTTGCACGGTTCTACTGAAAGGCCTTGGCAAGAAAGGTGCTAGATTCTGGGATGTCAAAGTGTTTGCATCTTCTTTATTTTTACTTATTTTGTCATATTCCGAATGATATTTATTATCGATGCTATTGTTGGAGTTGGAAGAAAGGGTAGTCATTTGATTGTTGCCAATAGACAAGGAGGGGAAGTCAGAAGAGGTCAGCTGATGAAAATTATTTGCGTTGTAATCGTCAAAGATATTGCGATTGTTGCTGTGAAGGTGATCTTCAGGGTTAAAGTAAATGTTCGAGTCCACGCTTAGCAGAAATGAAAGAGAAAGCGTTAAAAAGTTTTACAAATTATAGCAAGAATTTAACTAGTCAGAACTCTCGAGAGGATCAAAGGCGTGTTAGAATTAATATTATTTGAAAATGGTTTATTTTGATCTAAAATCATAAGTAGCTTAATAAATTCCTTAGAATATATAATATATCTAAAGATTTCATTAATTTTGGTTGAGTGGATTTGGGCTTGTTAAATCTTAATTTATGTATGAATTATTTATATTAATTTCCTAATTTTGAAGAATATTAATTTGAAATGTCTAGGTTATATATATATATATACATGTTAGCGGGAATGTGTTATATTATAACTTTAAATCATTCTTTGAACATATTTTTTAATAAAAATATGATTTAAAAGGAAATGTTTTCCATCATGTTTGAGAAATATACCCTATAAATTTCAGACAATTTCGCCATGAAATTTTGTAAGTAAAATAATTTATATTAGTTTTTTTATACATTTTTTATATAAATTATAAATGACTTAACGATTCATGGCAAATTTGTCTACAATTCATAAGATAGGAACTCCACACATGCAGAAATATATTTCCAGTAAAATCAGTTTTATTAAAAAACGAGTTAAAAAAATGATAATAGGTTATAAAAAAAAATAACACATTGCCGGGAAAAACACATGCCACTAACATATAATATCAATTAATATTTCTACTTATTATTAAGACAAAAAAACAAAATTTTTTATGGCATAAGTTGTAATTGTAATTTATGCTCAATATTTTTTATTTATAAAGTTTAAGTTTAATTAATGATAGGTAAAAAGAAAAATAATAAATATAAATAATTGAGATAAATTCATTTGAAGGGGATGCCAGAAAAATAATTTAAGGTTTATTAGATCCTATCAAGTGTTTTTACATTATATATTTTTTTAACTAGAGTACTAAAAGGTTAAATTAAATGTTGGAAAAGTATTTTATTAATCATCTATACGCAATAGATTTGGTATGCGTAATAAAATATCAAAATTTAAAGGGTTCTTAAATTATATATTGCTATTACCAGAGTCCTGCTTAGTCCGCCAGAGCAATATTTTTGCCAATTCAAATTTTAAATTAAAAAAAATAAATCAACTGGTTAAACTTTATTTAATAATATATGTATCTAAGAATTAACTAAATATAAAATATATCAATTTAAATTGTATTATTTGTAAGGAAAAATAAAGCGCTACTATCAAAATCTTATTAATATTGAAAATGAATACTATAAAATTGTGAAAGGCAATATTTGACTAAAAAATAAATATATTAGAAATGACTAAATGGTGATTTGAAAATCGTATAGTTAATGTAGACTAAACCGTATGGACCATATATTAATCCTTATAATGAGTGATATGCAGATCAAAAAGAGTCAAGCATGAATTATCCATAGGTAAAAAGTCTGAGATCCAAAAGTAAAGATATAGGAGAAAATAACAGTTAAGGTATATCAGGATTTTATCGATGTCCGATAGAATAAAAAAAGAAGATTCAATAATGGATCTAAACCAAGCTAAGAGAATAAGCAGAAATGTATGGTAAGGAATATAGAAGCATTGACATAAACATGTACCCTGGACATTTATAACATTGATTCAAAAACAAGAGATAATTTAATAATTTCTAACCCAAAATGGTCTGGAATTAAGGTCCCACTATCTAAATAAGGCTGCTGTCTTCTTGCTCTATTGTCCCCGTGTCTATTTGCATTGTTATCATTATCAAACCTCCTATCTGGAAAAGGGTTACTTGAACCGCTATAATTTTGATTAAAATCGCTTGAATTCGTATAACGAGCAGGATTCCTGTTCAAATTCTCGATAATAGGGTTCAATTCGTTAGTGAAAGAAATTTCGACATTTCTAAGCAACCTCTGTGAATTCTTATCCATAGTTTTAGAGTGTTTTTCAATCCTGTGAGCTCTCATATCAATTTCTTTAATGGAAAAGACAGTAGTTTAATGAATGAAAAATTATATATTTAATTTAGTTAAGAAATTAAAATTTGTTAGTCATATATAATTCTAACGAATACAGAAAAATAAAATTGCACCCCGCTATAAAAATGAGGGAAAAAACCCCTAAACGTGAAACGAGGAAAGCTCAAAATATTAAGAAAGCAAATTAATCCACGCCTTGATTATGTGAAACCTTAGGAGAGTTTTGAATAATTTATTTTTGAATTTTACTTTTAAGTATTTAGAATATATATGGGTATAGTCAGTAATATTTTTTTAAATACCATTGCGAAAAGCAGTGACAAATCTTTCGTATTTGCAATCCCCTTCTTCGCATAGATGATGTTCAGATCTAAAATGATCTCTGAGTACGGGATAAGTGCTTTTGATAGATATTACAAATGTGCAATTTGTTAAAAGAAACAGCAATAAGTCATTATTAAAGTAAGTGAGAATAAAAATTCGATATAATATTAAATAAAAGTAGTTCCATTTTACATTTAATTTCCCCCACTTTGTTTTTATCATTCATTAAATCTCTAATTTAATTTTATTGTGTTAATTTAAAAAATATGCATTTATTTTTTCCTGGCTGATATAAATTCAAATGTAAGGTTGGACTTGATGTTAGCAAAAAAGTATATTATTTATTAAATATTAAGGTGAATAAAAAAAGAAGCTTGATATAGATATCAAATTTCAAAAAACAGGATAAATTTGTCTAATTCGATTCTTTGGATCAGGATTCCGCCCAATTCGACAAATAACCCAGTCTTTCGGACGACCATTTTTAAAATGGATAAAATTTGGTAAAAAGGTTAATCAGATTGTATATTTTTTAAAAATTAAAAATTTAAAGCTCTGGCTCAAATAGAACTTATGGGCCTTCAAAGACCAATAAGAACATCATCTTGATTTTAATAATCTAAAATTACTAGATAAATATTTAGTCCAAGGTCACAAATTATATATCATTTTATAGCCCTTAAAATACTCCTGAAAATACAAATTATTTTAAAAATATTTTCAGTTTTGATATTTCTGGTAAGACAAAAAAATTATCTTGAACTCACCAAATATGTTTATTACTAATATATACAAATATTCAAGTAATAATATTAATTGAGAAAATAAGAATTTAAATTTTATTTAATTTTTATAATCTTGCGAATAAAAATTTTTTATAAACAAAAATAATATGCATTTAATATTATAAATGACCATAAATATTTATATAAAATTATTATATAAACTATGTAAATTGATTTTTTAAATTCCTATAATTATAAAAACTATATAAAATTCAAATTCTTATTTTCTCTATTAATATTTTTACTTAAATATTTATTTATATTAGTAATAAACTGATTTTATAAGTTTCATCTTTTAAACGCCTTTTATGATTGAATTTTTTATTCCTAAAATTAAGAAAAACAAAATAAAATTTAAACTCCTTTTTTCTTCATTAATATTTTTACTTAAATATATTGGTAAAAACATATTTGGTGTGTTTAATCACAAGGTCCTTCTCAAAATAATTTTTTTTTGTTTTACCGAACTACAAAATAATATATAACTTGTGACTTTAAACTAAAAATATTTTGAGTATTTAGAGATTCGTTAAAATAAAAGGCTCTCACTGGACTTTGAAAGCGAAAGCCCTAACTCCTGATTTATTTGAGCTAAAGCTTTAAAATTTTGATTTGTATAAAATATACACTATATAATTAATATGCAGTTTCATTTATTTTAATGAAGGTGATCCGATAATCGCGTTATTTCAGTCGATATGTCATGGAATTTATCAATTAGCTAAGCTTAAATTATCAAGTTGATTTTATTTCGATAAAATTAGTTCATCCTTTTTTGAGAAATGAAAATAATTTTATTTACTTTGGCTTTATATTATTACTTAATTTATTTATAATATAATATTTTCATCGCCTATATTTATAGAAAGTACAAAACTTTATGTACAAATCTGAAGGGATCCAAACCGTGTTGAATATCGGTTTGGGTTCATAAAAAATAACCGTTTAAGATTCAAGTTCGGTTTGTAAAAATATGAGCGGTTGGGTTTAAATTTTAAAAACCCGATTAGAACACTTTCGCATATAAGCCTGATAGAATATAAATAAAAAAGCATTTTAAAATTTTATTACTAATTCCCATACATAAATTTACTAACTATTTTATTATTATTGCCCATCAAATACAGCTAGTTTTTAAATTTTAATATATAAACAGTATTTACTAATTTTAATATAAATATTTATCATAAAAATGGCTAGTGATATCAAACGGTTTAAACCAGTTAGTAATTTTTTATAAGTTCGGTTATTTGGACAAAATATTTTATAGTTGGTGACAAATAATATAACGGTTAATACAGGTTTCAGTTCAGTTTTGATCCCTGCAAATTGACGCCCACATTTCAAAGTAACAGGTTTCTAATTTTAGGTTTGTCAACCCAGACCCCGACCGTTGTATAAAAAATAAGCTCACGACCATAGTTTTGGATAAAATTCACCCGTCTATTGATTTAAAAGTGTTAAAGAAAAATTTTGGAATGAAATGTAAAAATGAAATTAGATTGATTCTCTCGAATGACTATATGTCTTCTCATTATAAATAAATATAAAATAATATTACTCAAAGTAAGCGTTTATGCCATCCGCATCGCAAAAGTGACAGAAAAAGTGATCCCTTCTAAGATGTTTAAACAATTCTTCCTCGTCAAGATACCTATCAATCAAATATAGTTATTTTCAAGAATGCATTGCTAATATATACCTAAAGTTTCCTGAATTCATGTTGATAAAAAAATTTATTTTAGTTCGAATATTTAATATTAGTATATTATAGACAACAAATAAAGGGGGTTAAAAAAGCCTGACTCCAGAGTCTGTAATCAATTAAGGTGTTAAGGAAAAATATTTCAATTTTAATATTAATTATAGGTATAATAGATTTGAAATTAAATACGATCGTTGATTATATGCACCGATACAACTTAACACAGTGAATTTAGAAAGAGCTGATTGATTTTATTATTACATTTAAAAAGAATTGTAATGATCACTTTATGATTTGTGGATTTGTAATGTTTACTTTATTTTAAAATAAAAAGAATATCATTGAAAATTAATTATGGGGTATCGCCATCAGCGGCGATACTCTTAAATTTAAAATAAAAATATTTGAAAATTTTATATTCCATCGCTAGTTTCTTCCATGAATTTAACAATGGAACGCTTTTTGTTCATTTACAATTTTGACAGGTATATTTAAATTAATTAGGTGCACGGATACATAAAACAGGAGAAAAGATGAAAAATCCTATGTGCGATACGATAATGGCACAAGAACAAACTGGGAAATTTATGGGAAATATATAATTTAGGGATTTATTAAATAAGTATTATGGTATTTAAATTAATTTAAGAAAAAGCTTACCTAATGTCATATAACTAGGCCAAATGTCGTTTCGCATAGCATCTTAATGTGTAAAGGTCTAGAATCAATTGGGAGTTGGGGGATGTAAAAGGACAGACTAAGAGATTTATGTGAAATATTCAATGTTGAACTTATGAATAGTATCATTTAAGAATATTAAATAAGTATCATGGGGATTCAATTTAATTTAAATAAGGCATACCCTAGGTCATACAGTACCAGACCTAATGCCACTCCTAATAGAGATTTGGATATAAAGGACGGGTAGGGGTGCATAAAATGCAGCAACTGAATAGAACATATAAAATCATAGAAAATGTCGCGTTAAATAGATATTTATTTGAATTAATATAATCCGGATCAGGTGAAGTAGGACGTATACTGAAGAAGGATAAATAGTTCAAGTGTATGTAAAGAAATACTGAGAAATTAAGTGAGATAAATGTAAAGCTGATGAAAAGTGTTATTACGAATTTATTAATTAAAAATTAACGGGATTCAAGTTAATTAAGGAAAAAGAAGCGTACTTATGTCACAAAGAAGAGTATGAATTCAATAAACATATAATTTATTTGGGCGACTTACGTGTGGCATACTGAAACTAGGTTAGATGCAAATGTAGGTTAGAAAGATATAAATAAAAACTATATGGATGGTGATAGAAGAGAGGTGACAGGACTCCTTTATACCTCTACGCCCAATAAAAAACGGAGATTGAATTTTATTAACTTTGAATGTAGACGAGAGATTTTTAAAGTGGTTGCTAAGGAATTTTACTATATAGTCAATACCACTGTCTGGGTAACTTGTACTCATAACTTATTTGTAAGTTATTTTTAATGCCAAGATTGGTCTAAGATAATTTTTAAATTCCAAGCACATATATTGTTAAACAGTAGGTGTCAAGTAGAATTTAGTATACGGTTCTTTATTAATACAATGAAAACTTTAAATGCTACGAAGCTCTGTAGTCATCGAAAGCAGGGGGGTTTGAGTCGTCTACGGTAACATTCAATCTCCGTCTTCTATTGTGCGTAGAGGTGTTAAGTTAGGGTGTGCCCTGTCACCAAGTTTATTAATATAATTATGAACAAAATCATGGATACCTTTGGAGCATTCATAAAAATTAATTATCTCATAAATCATTAGATATACTTACATAAATATCCCTCTTGTTAGAGGTCGAGCAACATTTATTATTCCTCTTCTATTACCATTCATTTTTATATTTATATCTTTACAACAGGAGTTTGCATCTAACCTTAGTTTTAGTAAGCCACATGTAAGTCTCCTAAATAAATTATACCTTTTTTGACATAAGTACGTTTACTTCCTTAATTAACTTGAATCCCGTTAATATTTATTTAATAAATTAATATTACTTTTCGTCAACTCTACAATTAAACCAAAATTTCTTAGCCACACTATCACTCTTTCGTTTACACTTGAACCATTTATCCTTCTCCAGTATACGTACTAATTAACCTGATCCGATTTATACTATTCCCAATAAATACCTATTCTTCAGGACACCTGTTATAGTTTCTATGATCTATAGAGTTGCTGCACTTCACGTACCCAATTCGTTTTATATACCAAAATCTCTATTGGATATGGCTTTATGACCTAGTTCTGTATGACCTAGATATGCTTTTTCTTAAATTAACGTGAATTCCCATAATACTTATTTAATAAATTCTCAATAATATTATTTACTCATAAGTTTTATAATAAATCTTTCCCTTAAATTTCTTAGCCCTTTACATCCACCCACACCCAATATTCCTGAATCTAGACCTCGACACTTTAAGTGGGTATGCGAAATGAGTTGGCATGGTTGTCATTATGTACTATTTAGCTCATGCATATCCCTAAACCTATACCAATATACTTATTCTTCCTTACCTCAACCTTATTTAAGCTCGGCATTTAGCCTGTTTGTGTATGACTATGCGCTTTTCTTAAATTAAATTAGCCTAAATAAATGCTTATTTAATAAATTTTCCTTAAATTTCTTATTTTAATCTTATGCCATTATAGTTTTATATCCCTGATTCCAGTGGCGTCACTAGGGGAAGGGGCGTTAAGGGGCTCGAGCCCCCTGAAGCAAAAATTTTTTTTAATGGCTCCTTAATATCCCCTTGAACAAATAAATTTTTTTGATTGCCCCCTGAATGATTTCTTTTATAATTCCATTAAGTAATATATAGATTTAATTTTATTATTTAGAAATTAATAAGACTATTTAAATATTTATTAAATGAAATTTGTATCTTGCAAGCATAGTTAACTATACCCTCCCAAAAAAACGTGGAAGTCATTCTCTTAATTATTTTTCGTCTTTTTATCATAGTTTGATGGACTTTCTAAATAAAGCGTTGATCTGTTATATATATAATGCATAGGGCTATATTTTTTTCGATATTGCTCTGTTCTTGCGAAATTGATTATTAATGCTGTAAACATTTCTAAAAGAATCGAACGCTTCGCGTTCAACGTTCATTGATAAAATTCGAAAGCGTTCACGTTTACTTTCAAAAAATAAAGGAACGCGTTCACTTTCGTTCAAAATTTTATGATAATTTATTTTTTTAATTTAATAATGTCTTATATTTTTTATCACAATATATTAGGCATGTTAAATAATAATAAAGTTTTATTTTGATAATATAATTATAAATACAATCTAATTTAGCAAATAAAAAGATATTTTTATTTATAAAAAAATCTTTCTTAATAATTTTTAATAACAATTATTTTTTCCAACTGATAGACAGGAACAAATGGCAGTTGATACGGCATTAGCTATACTAAAAACGCGATCTACAGGTGCAGATGAGGGGATTGCGGTATTACATTTAATTAACAACTCTAGGGGTATTAAAATTTATACTTTATTTCAAAAAATTGAGATAAGTTACCCTCCTCCACCATCCTCTACTTCATCGTCAAAAAAGGATATCTAGAAATTAACAGTTCTTGCATTATTATTTCTAGGTTTTCAAAGCATTTTTTTCAATAACACTATAAGTTTATTTTTTATAGGTTCATTCTGTGGAAGTTATATCCATGGCCATTGAAGCTTCTGGATGTATAATTGCAGAAAGAACATATTGATCTTCATATATATGTTCAAATATTTAAAAAAATAAAATATATGTAATTAATTTGATAGTGATAGGTTATAATACCTTTTATTAATCATATTTAATACTGCGTCTATCAATGGTTGACCATATTTGAGGTCACTAATTTTTTTAATTTTAAAATAACTATCGTTATTGTAGAAGTAAAATCCCAAGCATTTTTTCTTCAAATTTAATGATTTTACTTAGTTATACTGTATTAAAATAATTAATATTACAATCAAATGTCGTTTTAAATTGGAACTTAAAGATTTTGACACTGATATAATATTTTTGGGCACAGTTTACACTTGCTAAGTATTGAATTAGTTCCTTCAATATAGGATGCTACTGTAAAATATTTATCATATTTAGCCATGGTAATATTAATTCATATGATTTTGAATTTTCAGAATCAGATGATGATGAAATAATAATATCCATGCTTATGATAATCTATTAAATTAAAATATAAACAATATATTCAGATTAATAAACTATAATAATGTTGTGTTAAAAAAATTGAAATGTGAAAAAGGAAAAACAGCTGTATAAAATATAAGACTTTTTTCTTAAAAAATTGGGATTAACATTATATTTTTCAAGTAAATAAAAATAAAGTGTTTTTAAAATTGAACGAACGTTAAATTCAAACGCGTTCGTCATAAAAAAGGAACGCCATTCATCATTTTTTCAAAAAAACGAACTTCGTTTACAACACTAATTGTTATATCTCTATTAAGTCAAGAGTTTGGGGGATAGTATTCTCAAAATAAGTGTCTAGAAAGGAAGGGGTTATTTGCCTCTTACGTTTTAAGGGAGTAGGAGTAAAAAACATTTTGGCAGATATAAGAGATAAAGGGAAAATCTTGACGTGTTATCTAGCAGTTTTTCTCTTCGAGATGCTCCATATCATATCTAAAAATATCTCATTTGTGAGTGAGATATAACTATGAAAATGATTTTTGATTAGTTTTATCTTTGAAAAACTATGTTCCATAGTTGGTCGTCGGATTGTGGAAAATACACGACAGAAATTATAAATATTCGATATAACGGCTCAATCGGTATAAATCTTAACCCAAATTATTTCTATTCTTTTATAAAATGTTGAAAGAAGACCAATATATTTGGGAATGAACTGCTTAAATCTTTGTTATATTTATTTATTAGAAAACTTGATTCATTATTTAGAATCATCCGAAAGTATTGAAGAATTATATTTTATCTAAATTGTTCATCAACTTGATTAAAGAACATCCATTTAATCCACATTAATATTTTTTTCAATTGGTTTAGGGTCCTTTAAATTTCTATATTTTGTCCACTTATCACTATGTAAAACAGGATTGAAGATGAGTCACTAAAAAATTTACATCTATCAATAAAAAGGTAATTCGTAATAGGCAACATTTAATTTAATGATAGCAGATATATATTTTTTTTATTATAAGCGAATACTTATTTAAAAATTTTATGATTAATAGGAAATGGTATCCTAGATTGGCAAGGTCTCCTTACAAGAATCCGATATATTTACTTTGGTTATATAAGTAAAATAGCCTTATCAGACTCAAATGAATTCTGACTTATCTTCTTTTCACAATTTGCACAAATATTTACGTTTTATTATTTTCCGTGTTACTAATAACAAATAGTCCTTCGTAAATATTTCTGTGGAACAGTAGTATTTTAAAAAATTATCTCTTTTCTTTTGGGGTCATTACATTTTCTAAAACCAACCCTCTAGCACTCTATGGATCGTCGTGTTAAGCCACTGCAAATAAAATACTGAAAGGTAATTAATTTTTTTTATTATGAATATTTTGGGTATGTACAGTAGAGACCTTCAAAATTTTTTTCGGCCGGTCCAAGCCTTCCCCGGGGGTAAATGGCCAAGATCAACTTTTTTCAATGGAATTAGAAAATATATTCTAGAACATATATAACGTGCCTACAAATTTTTATTAAAATTGAAAGATGTCGGCTCTGAGGTGTTTGAACTGGCATGGAGCCATTAAGAATTTTAAAAGAATAAAATATTTTTACAATTATAAAATTTCTTTGTGTGTTTTTGTATTAAATATTAATTTTTTAAAGTTTTGGTGAGAGCACTATGTACATGTTTGTTTAAAATGTAATCTTTTTTCAATGGTATTTATTTTGGGAATCAATTTGATTTATACAATACTTACCTTCCTTCTACAAAATCCGAGGTGTTACTTTTCTGACCAGTCACCGATTCCAAATTAGCACAGAATCTGCAAGAAGGGTGCCCTTTTTGAGACGTATCGCCCATACTAGTATCACCTTCGTTCAGATGCCGAGTCAATTCGGGTAAGGTGTAGACTTTTCTCTCTTGGGTGAAAAGCTAATAACGATTTTGCAAAATAAATTTATATATTTTAAAAAAAATTGTCGAGAAATAGTATAGCGTAGTAAAATCAATTAAATATTTTAAATGCCCTACCAATTTAAGCTTAACAACTGACTAGAGGTCTGCATTGGGCGAGTTTTTGGACCATAAGCGGTCTGCATTGGGCGAGTTTTTGGACCATAAGCTTGCCCACCCATTGTTTTAAAAAAATTTAACCCGCCTACCTAATGAATATTAATAAAATATGTTCAACCAAGTTTCGAGTTCTTGAATATATGAAATCTTGTGCATTTCATATATGACGCCAAAAATAATTTCAAAATTTTCTCCACTCAATTTTTTAAAATAATTTGATATTTTTAAAATATTACAAATTATATACAAAATAAAAGTATTATCATCATAAAATAACCCAAAACAATATAAATATTGGATCGGATTTTCTGAAATTGGCATAGCCTTACTTGAATAGAATAGCAATAAATGAGTGTTTCAATCAATAAAATAAATAAAAATTGATCAATCATTCAATAACACATGCTCACTATATTGATTCATTTTTTAATTAATTTCTTGGTATTTTGATTTCTATTAACAACTAACCCCAAGCTTGGAAAAACTATAGACGAATATACAGTTAAAATTGTACAAGAATTTTATTGTATGGACATCATGCCAGGCAAGAAAGATTGCGTTTCGATTTTGATCAAAGACGGAAAAAAGAATACCATACAAAAGAGATTAATTTTAGATAATTTGAAAGAAATTTATATATTTTTTAAAGAAATGAGGTCTGATGTCAAAATTGATTTTTCGAAATTTGCAAGCATTCGCACAAAAAATTATATACTCGTTGGAGGTAGTGGTACACATAATGCATGTGTCAACTACTACCAAAATTTTAAATTAATGATCATTGGATCAGATTTACCCAATTTAACCAATGATATGCTGCCCTTTAAAACATACAAACATATTTTACACTTAATAATTTGTAATCCGCCTCAACCATCCTATTATATGGGCAAATGTGATAATTGTCCAGGGTCAACACATTTACGCGATCAAATAGAAATATTGTTTCGTTCTAAAGACATCGAATTTATAACATACAAACAATGGCTATCTGTAGATAGAACCACTCTTGAAACAATAACCAAGCCAGTAGATGAATTTATCAATGCCTTTTTTGAAAAAATGGAATCTTTATTACCCCATTCTTTTATTTCAACGCAACAATCGTTTTATCAAAACAATCTAAAATTGAACTTAGACAAAGGCAAATATTAAATTTTATGTGATTTTTAAGAAAACTATACCTTTATACTTCCTTGAGGATGAAGTACAAAGTTATCATTGGAATAGGGCTCAATCCACTGTTCACCCTTTTGTTATATATTATAAAACTTGCCAATATTTGTTGCCTATTTGTAATGATATCCGAATCTTTGCAACACAATAAAATAGCAGAATATTATTCCCAAAAAACATTGGTAAATTTTTTAATAAAATTTGTATGCCAAATAAAATATTTTATTTTCCGATGAATCCGCTGCACAGTATAAAAATCGTAAAAATTTTATTATTTGCCATCATGAGATGGATTTCGGGGTACAGGCGAAATGACATTTTTCTGCTACAGCACACGGGAAAGTGTTAGTGATGGGATTGGTGGCACTTTTAAAAGATAAGCCGCTAGAGCTAGTTTACAAAGGCCTTACTCAAAGCAAATAACCACATCATATGAATTGTACGAGTTCGCTAAAGAAAATATTAATCGCATATATTTTGAATATATGACCAAAAAAATTACAATTACGAAGAACTATTACTCAGGGAAAGATTTTCCAAAACTAAACTTATACCTGGAACACAAAAAATTCACATCTTGATTCCAACAGGTCTACATCAATTTAAAAGTAAAATATACTCCAATTCAATAGAAAGCACTATAGAATATTTATCATATAATGATGAAAGTATAATTTTTAGAGAAATATCAGGATACATAATGTGTGTTTATGATTCTAATTGGTTAGCCTTTGTTTTGGTGAAAAATCAAAAGCAGGAAGAAATATATATAAAGTTTTTACACCCATCCAAACCTTATAATTCCTTTACATTTCCAAGTATAGACGACACTCTTTACTTGCCAAAATGTCATCTTATCATTAGTTTCACCGTTAACTGCTACTGGCCGTAGTTAAACATTGTCGCCACAAGAAAGTACATCCGCTACCAAAAAATCAGAATCTTTTAAAAGTAAGTTATATATTAGATTTTTAAATTTATATTATATCAATGATTTTTAATATTTAGGGCGCCTTATATGAAATGCACAAGATTCTGATTCATATATTCAAGATCTATAAACTTGGTTGAATATATTTTATTAATATTCATTAAATATATGTTATATAGGCAAAATATTTTATAATAAATTATAAATAAATAATAATTTAAATTTCTTTTATCGATAGACAATTTCAATAATTGAATGAAAGACCCATTTATTGTTATTTTCACTTACAAGATCAATAATCCTTTAAATTATATCAAATAGTTTAAGAAAAACCATTAAAATCAGATTAATAAATAATTTTATACAAAGACGCCCCCTTTCGGGAAAATATTTATACACTTTTTAAACATTTTAATCGATTTTAAGAATGAAGATGGCCGCGTCTAAGACCAATTTTTTTTATAAATATAAAGGAAGAGTTTAGTAATGTAAATTTTTTTTAAAAATTGAAGGTCGTATTATTTCCAAAAAATCGTTTTTAGTCCTTATATATTAAATAAAATGGCCGGAAATTATCTAGATTCTTTTTACGTAATTTTGATATTATATTTGTTATTTAAAATTATGCAGTTTTTAAGATATGCTTAATACTAAATAACATGCGTAATTATATTTTAAAATTGTGATTTGAAGGTTTTTTAAAAAATAAAATTCTTTAGGTTCTGATGTAAGGGCTCTTGTCTTATCCCCTATATTTTTTAAAAACTTTAAAGTTCCGCTGGCATATGTCCAAGGGAAGAGATGACAATAGGTGTAAAAATATAATTTGTGAATTTGGAATATTTCATTGTTTTTTTTTCTCGGCTATATCAACCGGATTAGAATTTAAATTTTTTGGGAAAGAAGATACGCATGTGAAGTCCCAAATTAAGGATTTCCCTAAAGACCAAGGCACGGAAGTTAAGCCATCTGGTCTTAAGCCATCATCTAACGATAAATTTATAAACTCCAGGATGTTTGGTATTCGGGCCCTGGTAAGAGAACGGCTAATAGCTAAATTAATTGCTGCATGCCTTGCATGCCTGCCTTGACTATATATACAATTTAGACCATGTCTCCCTTTGGAGTCAACTAATATTTTACATTTGATGCATGTATGTGGTTGAACAATGTTACATCCAAGTCGATGGCCTATGGCAACTCTTAATTGTTCATCTGATAAGAGGTTAGTTACGACTTGGTAATGCTTCCAACCATTCATAACCACTAGTACAGTCAGCATTCTGTAATAGTTGAATATACTCCAAAGGGGGGTTAATTTTATTTTTTAAAACAAAACCTTCAAATCACAATTTTAAAATATAATTACGCATGTTTTTTGGGAACTTGTAGTCCCACCTCCGTTTTTATATAATATTGTTTTATTTTATATTTGATGTGATATTTAGTAAATTCATATAATAAAATATAATAACAAAAGATATGCTTAATTTGAATGAAGGCAGATAATAGTAAAAATACGTCATTTTTGCCACTTTATACCCTAATATCCAAAAATATAAATATTAGGAGACTAAAATTTTGGCAATTTCTTAATTACATTTATCTTTCTTTGCTTACCAAATTAAAAAAAATAGAAGGGGATCGGCCGAATCGTGGTTGATTTGTCACGGAATGTCCCAATGCATTAAAAAAATATGGTTCATACTTAAAAATAAAATTTTTATATGAATAACATAATGTAATTCAGAGACCAGCAGATTCAGCCCTAAGTCCGCCCGTATCGTATTTAAATTTTTAATATACCCTGGCCGGTCCTATAAATTTTTTTTAAATGCCTGGGCCAGGCTGTATATTTTAAAACCAACTGCCATTATTAGCTATAAAAATAAATATAATAAATTTTAAAAAAAATCGGGCAGAGCCTGAAAATATAAAACCCGGGTTGAGCCAGGCCGAAATTTTTTTTTTAAAAAATAGGAGCCGGGCAGTGCAAATGTACTGCTGCAGGTCTCTGATAGTTAAACAATTGCTAAATTTAATAGATTCAAGGCTAACTTTTCAAAATTAGTATTAATGTCTGGGGAAAAAAATTAGCTTTATTTGGGCCATGAAGCCAGAAAAAAAATAGAGATTATATATATGTTGAGCAGATTTGCAATGAAACCATTTTTGGTAAAACAGAGCAGACCTTTATGGGCCGGGCTGGCCTGAGTATGAGCTAATATTATATTTTCTAGCTGACCTAGGTTTTTTTAAATTTTCGATCTGAATGTGTATGTATATATAAAAGCATCCATCAATTGCATAAAAAATTTTAATGGGTTTGGGACAATTTTTAGAATCTAGCTTACATTTAAAACAGTTGTTAATTAAAAATATTGAAATTTTTTTAATTCTAAAAATAAATTTTACATGAATAAAGGTAATAGCAGCGGATATGAGGAAAATGAATCTTACAAATATTGATGCTCAGGACCGTAAAAATGATGGAGAAAGAAAATCAGAGGGGAAAATGGCTTGGGTAGACCTGGAAATCCTGAGAAGAAGAATAAAGAAGATATTTACAAAAACAAACAAATTTGATAGGGTGCCCCATTCCCTTCTAGTTAAGTCAATCCAATGCCCATTAATAGGTTAGTAACTAAGAGTTACTTCAAAATCGTTTTCATATCAAAATATAAACTTAGCATCTTTTTCCCCCAATATTAAAATTGTATTTTGCTTTTAAAGTAATAACATAAAAAGGAAA